AAGGGTTTAAAGTCTCAGTACTATCAAGCTATAGCAAGCCACCGCAGCATGAGTTCAATTCCTGCTGGGGAGCTAATCCACATGGCGCAGCAGACCTCTCCTGTCTCGCTCACTGCTCCCCTCAGCAGTGTGTTTCAGTGGATGTGCCTGTTCTGTTCCCCGCTCTGTCTCAGGTGAATCTTCTTACCCCCACTCTGGCCTCCACTCCAGTTCTTGCATGCATGCCTAAATAAATATATTTTAAAAAAGAGAGAGTGTTTACAGGGCTACTGTTTGTAGCTTTGTCCACCTGATCCTCTTCCCCGACTCCCTAAATTTCCTTCTGCCAGCTGCACCATGTGCATCTAAAAGACTGTCTCCTCTAGCAGCTACCACCACTTGTCCATATGGGCCCTGGTCTCTTCTGCAGCAGCCTGTTGAAGTGGGTATATGTGGACATGTTTCAGGCCTCTAAGAAAGCCATGAGTTCTGTACCCGCACACTTCGGGGTAGCTGGTGGCCGCTATAACCGGGAGCTGGGGTTCCAGCTGCCCCAGACCCCACCTACTTCCCTGAGGCCAAGGGGTATCAATACCTCATAGCAAACCTGGAACCAATTTATAACACAGCAATATGCCAAGACCTACCAGCAGGGAAGCACTGAGTTCCAGATGTGAAACAGAGACCAAAATAATTACAGAGAATGTTGAAAGCAGTTAACCTCTTGACCTAATAATACTTAGCTGTAGAAACTGTGTTATGAATAAATGATATAAGTACAAACTGATTTTTCAAAAATATCTCTGAGGTAGTGGTATTATATGTTCTGGACCTTTACCTTATCCATGCATTGGAGCAAGCTGCTTTTATGAGATGAGACGATAAAATGTATACAATTGTGGAATATGGTTTACTTCTGAAATTCAGAGACTGTTTATGGATTATCTCCATGTGTATTTGACTGTTTCCATCTCCAGCATTAAGATAAAGAAATAATGCATCTAAAGATAACAAACTTCATTTTTAAATAAAAGGATAAAATGAAGTTGAAATTAGTGGGACCGATAGCTTGCGTTATGTTTTCAGTCTTCATTTAATTATTTTCCTGCTATCCTTTAACTTGCTCCTTGGGAAGTTAGCAGTGATGTCTTAGGAGAAGAATTAGGGAATAGAGAGTAACTTTTTTTTCGAAATTAGTTAACATAGAATATAAGCACTTGAGAAAAAAAGCAGAGAATGCTCTCCTGTAGAAGGGAAGTGTGCAGTTCACTTGGTGCCCTCCATATTCAAGGCTGAAATTGGAAACAATGGAGCTTAATTTGCTGCCCAGTTAATGGCCCTACTGATTTGTTCTCATTTTTCAGACCTCTAATATGTCCTTAAAACCCTCTCAAGGGTGTTATGCTTTTAGCTTTAGGTCTCTGTGCTTCATTTTTCCTTTTGTTCTTCAAATACTTTCATCACCTCTTCCTGTTTCATCTTCTGAGAGGATCAGAATAATGCATGGTCTGCACTGAATAATTTGGATGAATTTGTGACATGTCTTGATGATGTTAAGCCACTCAGAGTCCTAGGAAATAGTACCAGCTAGCATTAGCAGTAGATTAATGCAGGTGAACTTTAGAGTCTTAATTTTTAAAAAATTTACATTTTTACCAGTGAAACAAAACAAAACATTTGCAATCTTTCTGCCCACATTACTGATTATAATTGCAAATACTTGCAGAAAGTGCTAGAAATGACTTCTTGCTCTTCCACAGGGGGCAGAGTATATTTCACTCATTTAATAGCTATTAAATATTTAAAAAACAATTTTCCAAAACTATATGTAGCATGTATATAAATCACAATGGGGAGTCCATTCTGATGTGCAGGTCTAACAGTGTTGGCATAGACAGGCTTATTTGTCTAAGAAAATTTGCCAGGAGGAAAGGTTAAATTTCTGGAGGTTTCTCATTTGAGGCGTCTTTATGAAAGTTGGAAAAATAGGGGTGCTTTCAGATGAAATTAAGATAGTGATTGTTTAGGAAGTTACTACATTTTTACCCCAGGATATGAACCTACACCTTATGATCTAAATCAGAAATAGTGGGAAACCATGCTAAGTTAGTGATTTGGGAGATAGGATCAAAGAAACTGATTAGCTCTTGAATTTTCCCAGTTGAAAATGAGTAGGGGTCATTTTTTAATGTTAAGAGACGTATGTCATGAGTGGGGTTTCAAAGGAAAGCAGGAACACATGGGAAGGAATAACGTGCAAGAAGGTAAGGAGAGAGAAACATAGAGGTTCTGTGACTGCAGAGCAGGGGGTTCCAGCAGATACAGGCAGGCAGGGAACAAGGGGCACATCTGGGAAGGGAGAGGTTCAGAAAGCAGTGAGTCAGCCAGTAGACTTCTAGATCTGGGGTTGAAATTTATTTTCAGGAGAAACATGGAGGATTTGGCAACAATTGACATGCTCAAAATGATATTTGGGTGAGATGATTCTTGCTGTGGGTTATAAAGTAACTCAGAGGAGGCAGAAGACTGGCTTATGATAAGGACTGAGGCTGAGGAAGGAAGAGGGAAAAGGGATCGACTTGGGATTTGGTGACAGGATTGATAGAGAAAACAGAAATAAAGAGAAGTTACAGATGTCTTCCAGTCAAGGCTGATTGCTGTTTTGGAGAAAAAAAAAACTCCCATCCCTTCCAGTTGAAGAAAAATCAGAAACTACCCACCCATCCTTATCCTCCCCGCACAGAAATACCACAGGGAAAAACAACAACAACAACAACAACAAAAAGACAGAGAATCCAGATTATATAGCAAATGACCCAATGTCTTCTTGTAGTGAGTTCTGTTCCTAGTTAACAAGTTACAAAACAGTGGAAGTGCAAGATTGCGAAAGATGGAAATGTATTAAATTGATAGATCTCGTTTGAATATGCTGTCTTCCATTATTCCATCCTCTTCCCGGAGATCCTAGGGATGACAGTAAATAAAGGAGTGTGATAAGAGTCCATGGTGAAGAGAGGAAGCACAGGCCTGAGGATGTCTGTGCATGCACAATAACTGGATCCTGGCGGGGATAAGCACTCCATGTCCCAGGGAGAAGGAAGGGAGACACTGGAAGTCAGCACTGTGAGCTGCTGTGTGGGGAAAGGAGCCAGAGGAGTGGTGAGGTGACATTAGACCCATGAAATTGTTTCATCTAAACTCGAAGTGCATATTTGCTTCATTCGAGCTGACAGTATGATTTGTGCTTTTCGATCTTAAATGAAGAAATATTTCCATCCCGAAGGCTTAGCTTCCACAGAGGGCTCACAATATAAACTCAACACAGTGATCCACCCCCAAACTAGCAGGGCCGAGCAGATATTCAACCACCAGAAAGATTTTTATGAGCCCCACCTTTTTTACAAATACAGTTCACACTTACAGTACTTAAAAGTAGACTGTGAAAATTCTTTAAACAGGTATTAGGGAAAAAGTATTCAAGAAAATCCTGCTCTTGATAGTGGTGGAGCTATTTAAACAAAGAATGCATTAATTTTTACATTGTAATCAAAATCAGCCAGCAATTACCCACCGACCAGGATGGATTATAATACTGTGCACTTCCTTAGTTCCAAACTGGAAATACCTTTGAATATTGTATAGACAGGGTTTTCCAGAGAAGCACAGACAGTAGATATGTGCATGTGCGCTTATGTGCGTGGACAAGTGGATGTGTAGGTGTGAGTGTGTGTGTACTACATATGTAGTAAGAAATTCATTTTAAGGAACTGATCATGCAAATAAGGTGACAAATCCTAAATTCACAGGGCACGCCAGCAGGCTAGAAACTCAGGCAGAGTGGATGTTGACTCCTAGAGTCTGTCCACAGGACAAGTTACAAGCCTGATACTTAGGCAGAATTTATGTATTCGAGTCTGGAGGTGGAATTTCTCCCCCTGGAACCTCAGTTTATGCTCTGAAGGCCTCCAAATGACTGGATGAGGTCCACTTAAATTATCCACAGTAATCTCATTTACGTAGTCAACTGATGGATAATGTTAATTGCATCTGCAAAATACCTTTGCAGTAACATCTAGGCTAGTCTTTTTTTTTTAACTTTTTTTTTTAAAGATTTATTTATTTATTTATACAAGCACTGGGTACAGTCAGAAGCACAGGAGGATGAGAGAATTCACCAGAGCCAGAGCGGGGAACAGAACAGGCAGACTGACAAAGTACACTGCTGAGGGGAGCAGTGGGCGGCAGCAGAGGTCTGCGCGCCATGTGGGACCCTCGCCCAGCAGCCAGGGATCGAACCGGCGCTGCAGAGGCTGCGGGCAGCTTCGCAGCCCAGCGCTCAACCGCTGCGCCACCAGGGAGGCCCTAGGCTAGTCTTGAACCAAATATCTGGCTAACTAACCTACCACGTTGACACATAAAATTTTACCATTACAAATTTCTTTTACTATAGTGAAAGAACAGAGTAGGCTGTTCTTTTTTTTTTTTTTTTTGGTCCCATTTCATTAATGTTGACATCTTTCCAGTGGAGATTATCTGAGGGATTGAATGGCAACAGTTTTAGTGGTCACTTTTTTTCTATCAAATTATTAAATAAAACAAGTTGTTTGAAAAGTCGGACAACTTTGGTTTCTTCCTTCTGTCCCTCATGATGCCAAATGGTTTTGTGTACTCTGCCCAGTAAGTGGGGCGGACATGGCTGATGCAGGTGACTCAGGCTCTGAAGTGACTGCTCAGCTGGCTGTGACAGTCACATGGGATGTGGGGAGTTAATATTTTCTGTGAGGAATTTTAATGTTAGGATTTACTGTCTTTTGCACATATAAATTTGAAGCCTTAATGTTATGCTCTTCTGGTTATTTGCATTTAATATGCATGCAAATTCACAATGTATACTATATGCCAAGATCATAATTTATAAATTGGTACTTTCCCTGGTTGTTAGCAATTTTGGCTGCTTTAAAAATTAATACTTTGAAGAAATATACATTTCAAATTTATAGGTAGTATCTTTTCATTTCTAGGCCAAAATATGTGGTACATTCTCTATGGGGAAGGAAGAGCTCTGCTTGAACTTTCTCTGCTTAAAAGAAGTTATGCATAATGCCACAGGTTAGAATGTTTTTATTTATCTTTTCTATGAATGAGTTTGGATTAGATGTTGCAGATGTCTGTATCCATTAAGAAGGTTGAAAAATATGTGTTTCTGAAGCATGATTGCAACCTACAGCATTCGGGTACAATTGGGGCTGAGTCATTTCAGGTGATAAACACACCTCACTTAACAGAGTTAGCCGATTGTACTTTTAAGTGGAGGACAATCAGTTCTGTGTTGCATTACCAAGAACAGGAGAATCCCAGAGAGAGGAGAGACGCTGTAGCCACTCTGGCTGCCTTAGACTGTTGTCTTGGCAACCAAAATACAGCCGTCAGTCCTTGGCTCAGGCAGGGAAGTCCAGCCATCCTTGACTCCGCTGTGACCTTTTCTCCTCCCCCTTCCAATCTGTCGCTGGGTTCTGCCAGGCAGCTTTGGAGCTTCTCTTCTCTGCACTTCTCCTGGCCACCTCCAGTTTCTGTTCTCACCCTTTTGGATGACTGAAACTCTTTACTGGCCTCCTGGCTTCTCAGCGGCTGCCTCTTGTATCACTCCAAAACAAGGTCCCCCAAAGCTTCCTTCTTGCTGTTGACCTCCTGGGCTTCCACATCTCTCCTAAATGTTAGCAGTCTGCTCTGGCTTATTAGTTAGAACAATTTTTTAACATCCTTCTTTCTCCCTGAGCTGCAAATCTTCATGACCATTAGGCTCCTTCCACAGCTGGCCAACACTGCAAACTACTTTCTCTCCTACATCTCTAAGTTGTCTGCATTTCTCTCAAAATCAGCCCCCCTTAAGTGATAGTGAGCAAAGAATCTCCAGAGACAAGATTATATATTTTTGGCACCATCATTATCACCAGCCTCATAAACATTGTCACCAACTTCTTGTCAACCCAGTATTAGTAGCTGCACAAAATGAACTAAATTCACTTGACCTTAGACACTTACTCAAAACTCAAGTCAGGGCCGATGCCTGTGGTGGAGCCTCCAGGTGAAGGAGTTGAGCAGGAATGAGAGCCTGTTGTGGAGAACGGGGTCTGGCTGCTGGTTGTGGGAGAGCCACAGGGCACAGGGGGTGTATGGAAAGCAGCTTATATCAGGTGCTGGCACCCCAGAAGGTGGTGGGCTTAAATATCCCAAATAACTCTCTTGCCTTCTCAGGCTCAGGGAGGTGATTATGATAAATGGGAGCTGGGTTCCCAAGGGCTGACTTGCTATTGGTTGTGGCTGCTTTTCTCTTAGCAAAATGTGCCTCGTCAGGGTCTTTAGAAAGCACCAGGACTTTGCAGAGTTTGCTATTCTGACCAGTGCTGGAACCATCTAGTTTCCTGCTAATACCTTCTGTGAGGCATTGGTCATTAAGATATGGCAGCTGGTCCTTGGTTTCTGTGCAGCCTGGATCCTGAAAAATGCAAGGTGGGTGGGAAGTGCAGTGGGAAGAGACAAAGGAGAAAAGAACAAAACAATACTCAACAGAAATGCATTCTTACAGATCCTTCTTGGTATTTCTCACCGACACATGTGTTCTTGGGCACAGCTGGATCTGTCTGATTAAGAGACAACTTTCCACTTTTACCTCCCACCAACAAAGTCACCTTTGGTTATCCTAACTATGTGGGCACAGAGCTAATGGGGCACTGTTTCCCAAGTCATTTGTGGACTGAGGGGCATCATTTAGGAATTTGCAGCAAGGCATCCTATCCGCTTGTCGAAGCCTTGACTTAGATATGTGAACTTCAAAAGCAATCAATGAGAAATTTTCTATAAAGAGGGGAAATCATCAAAAGGAAGACTGACTCTATTCCTGCTCCTTTAGAAACCATAAATGGTAGGGAATCTTACTTTTGTTTTGGAGTTCATGGATGTTTGATGAATTTTATATTAATACCAGATGAGGATAACTTAACTTTGTGATAATAATGACATCAGACAAAATATGCTGCTGTGGATTCTCTTCCTCCTCCTTCCCTTCTCCCTTTCCACTGCTCTACCTCTTCCTTTTTCGGTAATAAACACAGTAGCTAATAAATGTATAAAGTATTCTGGTTGGCTCAGAGATACAGTCTACTGGCTTGGGTTGTATCATGGGTAACTCCAGCCCTCAGGCCCATGGGCTGCGGGCGGAATGGCCTTCTAACTGTCACAGAATGTTCAGGGCATGCATGCCACATGCGTGTTTCACACACAGCTCAGGAGCCCTGAGTGTAAGAACTTGAGACTTGTTCGCTTCTGGAGGTCCAATAGGTACTGATCCCTCCCATGGCTTTGGATTCCCTCAAATACTCTGGACCCAAGGAAGTGCCAGGATCCCTGAGAGAAAGCCATAAATGAAAAAAATTTGCCAGAGTAGACCAGACTAGATATCAAGTTTGCATGTCCAAGGAAGCAGTGGTTTCAGGTACCCCTCAACCCTCCTCAACCTAACTAGCCTCTCTTCAGCTCCCCTTATGAACAACAGACTCCTCACAAGAACCACTAAATGTGTCACAGTGTAATTGAGCACTGAGACATAAAGCGGGGTTGTCGTTCTGTAGTTCTTGAGTCAAACCCTGCCTGTGGCCTGCCTGTTAAAATTGTAAGAACCAAAGACTGAGAGTGTTTTAATATTTTTAAAGTGTAGGGGAAAAAAAGTAAGGACAAATGTGCTACCGAAACACATTATCTAAAGCTTCGAAGCCTAAATATTTATGATCTGACCCTTAACAGATAAAGGTTGCTGTCCCCTGCAATGAACTGGTCAGCAAGGCCTAGGGCTCTTTCCTAGAAGCCCTTTTTGAAAGAACAAGGCCCAAGAAGGCTTTCAAGTGGTTGCTGGGACTTGAGGTTTTTTATGCTAAAGGAAGCAATTTGTCCAGAGAATGTTGTCAGCAGTGTCTGTTTATTGTACCTTTTGGGTGGCAGGAAGGCAAAAGTCAGCAAAACAGAGGAAAAGCTGAGGAACAGAAGAAAGGAAGGATGTCAGGCAGCAGGCCTTTGGTCTGTCTGTACAATGGACATCCACTGTCCCCACCACAGGGATCCTGAAGGGAGTAACTGAAGAAAGGATTCCCTGGAGGGGTGCAGAGAGTGGGGACTTAGACTATTGCCTTAAGCATGACACAGCTCAGCATTGTGAGTGAGGAGGCTGGGGACTTCACATTTATGTTCTATAGCTCACAAAGTACAGCTCATTCTATAATTGTGAGAATAGGATTGATGCTTAGTCAGGGTTAATGCATGTCCTGCTCATGGTCATATAGTTATATGGTAGAAGTAGAAACAACTCAGATATTCTGGCTCTAACACCTAAGCACCATCTCAGAATCAATGAATGGCCAATACCACGTGTTAACTCTGTCCTGCTTCCCACCCCAACACAACAGCCTCTCACTCCTTCTGAAATGTACTTGTAAGTTCATTAGGTTAACACATAAAAAAAATAAGTGGTTAGAGCGGAATCATTTTGTGTGTCTCAGCTTAGTCATTTTCTCACATGGAAGGTATATGTGGAAAAAACTCTTACCAAAGCGTGAAAGGTAATTTGCACTCTCTGGGTAGTTTATATATATTTCCGAACTTGAGTTAGGACAGGCGATTTGGACATTTTATTTTGACTTTCATAAATAACCTATGAAAAGAGCAATTGTGAGAAATAACTCATGGCATGATGGTAATCTTAGTTAAAACTGGAGCTGTTTTCAGTTTTTTGCTGTAGATGTCAGAACAGGATGCTATGCAACAGATAGAGTGGCCTTTGTGTGCGCATGCGTGTGTGGTGGATGTCAAAGATTGTCATTCCTACGGGATAGGATAGGAGACGATGTTACGCACTTTCCACCAGCACACTTTGATATTTTTGTCTTGGTAAGTGTGTGGGGGAGCCCGATGTGTTCTGCATGGGCTCCAGCCCTCAGTCTCAGTCTAAACCTGAGGATGAATTTGGTCCTGGAGCCAGTGTCACTGACACATGCGGTACACCCACAGGGAAATCCATCACAGGAACAGCAATCCAGCCTTCTCTGGGATCTAGCCACATCCATATTCATATAAGGAAAACCCTGAGTGTTTTCACTGAGAATGATATTTAGGGACTCTGGGATATCACTGCCTTTACACTGCTCATAAAGTATGTTAAAAAATAAAGCCTTAAAAGTCATGCTTTGAAGAGTGAGGACAAGAAAACGAGTGTAGCAATTCATGCAGTGCACATTCCTCAGAGCAAGAAGGAGTGTCACTTTCTCAAAGGAGGTATTTCGTCTCTCCAGGTATCTTTAAAACGGCCAGGTTAGCCATAGTGGCTCAGGAGCTGACCTGGATTTCTGACTTGATAACTCTTTGTAACTTTTTAGATTGTAGGAGTGTAGCTCAAACGTCATTTATTAGGGGGTCTTTCCCCCACTCAATTTGGGTGTTTCCTCCACCCCCCAGTTCTGCTTCTGTCTTCTCTGCCTTACCATGTTTTATTTTCTTCACGGCAGTTCTTATCTCTGGTACATAAATACCACAGGAGGAGAAGCCAAATATGACTCTGGTGTGCTGTTGTGTTCTGTAACTCCTAGGTCAGTGCCTGGCCTGTGGTGCTCAGTGAATCCAGAGTGTTAACAATGAATGAACAAATTAGTAATTGTGTGCTTTCCTGGTGCTCAGTCCCACAGTGTGGAATCCAGATACTGGGTTTTGGGCTTTCCTTGGTAGAAGAATATGAGGAAAGGACCTTAGCTTTTTACTATTGTAATGACAAGTTGCCATAGACTTGGCAACTTAAGCAATACAAGTTTATGATCTTAAAGTTCTAGAGATCATAAATCCACCACAAGTCTCATTGGGCTAAAATCATGATGTCAGCAGGGCTGTGCTCTGTTCTTGAGACCAGGAAATATCTGTTTTCTTTCCTCTTTCAGCTTCTAGAAGTCATGTCCATTTTTGGTTTGGGGCCCTTTTCCAGTTTGAAAGTCAGCAATGGTGGCTTGAGTACTTCTGAGCCACCATTCTGGTTCACTTCAACTTAGTGTTCTTTACTTTCAAGGACTTGAATG